ACGTAAATACGAATGAAATATATACAAATAAATAAGTATATAAACATGTAAGATTGACAAGAGTGCTCAGGGTGTATGTGATAATTATAGGACAATCAACTGTGTTATCAAGAACTGAGATAGAATAAGTGAATAGTTTTTTAACTAGCTCGTATTTTGTTTTAGCATAAGGGTGAAAATACACCGAAAGCAAAGTCAAGCTCTATTGTCATCTTATGAACTCTGCACACTGAGCAGACAAATCGCAGGCTCCAATTAAAATCAACACGGCTTCGTGCGTTGAGAACGTTGATTTTCTTACAGCGTAATGAGACGTTAGAACTTGAAGGTAGATGACGATATTTAGATTTTCAAATTTTTACGGCGTAATGAGTCGTTGAAGAAGATGTTTAGCGCTCACTGTAAAAATTTTGACTGTACGCGTGCAAGCTGGGATCGCTCTCCGCCGGAATCAATAGAATTATTAATTGCAATTTTAAGTACTGAATTACCATGTGCTTGATGCTGGAGAAAACATCGTGAGGAAACCTGCATGTCTGAGAAATGAGAAAAAAATATTTTGAAGATATTTCTTGCCCTAAAACCATCTCAGAATGTGGGGAGATCTGCGCCCAGCAGTGGGACGTATATAAGTTCTAACTTTAACTAACTAATGGGACGTTAGGATTTGAGGGTAGACAACAAATTGTAAACAACATGATAATGCTAAAGTGGATGAAATAATATTATATTTTATTACCAAGTTTTAGTTAGCTCGCTTTCCTATATTTCTGTTCTAGTCGAATTTATTTTTTGATTTAAAACTAATTTCCCGATAAGTGATTTGAATATTTAAACATAGCTCGGAATCGGATGACAACAAAAGAATATAAAAAATATCTAGTGAGTATATTACGGGACAGGAGCCGTGGTATTTCCGGAGCTAAGTGCTCGCTGTATATTTCGCATACGCAAGCATCTTAAGTTGGAACCCCGCCGGCACCAATGAAATTATGTGCACATTATGTGTAACACTGCCCGGCGGTGAAATAGAGAAACGTGTGTAAACCTACTTATCTGAGTAATAAAAAATTCTAAGACATGTGAAGTCCGCAAACACGCATTAAGACAGAGCGGCGGACATGTCCTTGCCCTAAAACCCTCTTAGGCATGAGAAGAGACCTGTGCTCAGCAGTGGGGTGTATATAGGGTGTAAATGATTATAATAATACTTTTTAATACAACTTTTTTCAATAATTCAAATCGTCAGAGAAGTTATTTCGTAAGAAACCACATCTATATACACATTTTATATAAAACGGAAGTTATAAACGAGCTTACAGTCTACCTGTAAATAGATACTGTAGTGCATGGACACATGCATTCAACTTCAAAAGAAAGACGATTGTAAATACGTTGTCACCCCTGAGGACTAATATAAAATACTTTAAAGTCTGTAATTATACTGGCTCTTTGTATCCTTCAATCCGGAACACTGCAGTGAAAGCAATGTTTGAGGGCAAACATAAGTATAAGGGTGGTTACCAAAGCCTTAAAAAACCACTTAATAAAGACACCACATCTAAATAATCAAAGAACGATTGTAGGAACTGGTAAACTTATTACCCGGATTTCTTGACACCCTATCTGTAAACCCAAGTTCTTACGTTTTTAAATACACAGTGGTAGAGCCGCGGCACGCGGCAGCTTTGCTGTTGCACGTATGGGCCGGGTCAAACCGGGGTGGTACCACGACCTCACAGAATACCGGCGTGAAGTGGAAGCTCTGCTTCCGCGTTTCGTCTGGTGAGTGCAGGTGGCCGGAGGCCCAAATCCCCCCCCCCATCAACATGGTAGCGGAATTAAATGATAGACTACCCCATGAGGGTACCAGCACCCCTGGAGAATCCCTCGCTGAGCATCCACGACCATGTTTCTTTACTTCTGAGCGTGGGTGCTCAGGCTGCCCCGCGTATTTTGGGGGGAGACGGCGAGGCCGGCTCTGCTCTTTCTGACCGAGACGCAGGTGTCCTCTCCGGCTGATGTCTCGTATCTCTCCTACCCGGGGTACAAACTGGAACACAGCCTCGGGCTGGAGTTTGCGTTTACATCAGAGAGCACATCTGTTCTCGACGCCTCGGCAGACTTGAAGGTTCGGACCTGTCCATCCTGTGGCTACGCGTAGACAGCGACGACCATCCGCGCGACTACGGCTGCCTCTATAGGCAGATGACAGCACTGGTGATGCTTTTTACACCGGCCGAGCCAATATTTCTCGGGAAAACGTCTCCGAGTGCCGGGGCAAACTTGTGTCTGAATTCGATTCCTTGCTGAACAGTCTCGGATTGGGGGCGACTAAATCTAGACAAATTTAACCCCCAGAAGACACAAGTTTGCGCGTTAACCGCTAAAAAGAACCCCTTTGTCGTATCTCCTCAGTTTCAGGCACTCCCCTTGTTGCCTCAGCCAGTATCGGAATCCTCAGCGTTGACATATCGAGTGACGTGCAGTTTCGTGGTCACTTGGAAGAGAAGGCCAAACTGGCCTCTAAAAAGTTTGACGTGCTCAGCTGAGCGGGACTGTATTTCATGCCGGCACACCGCCTGCAACTTTACAAGGCACAGATTCGGCCGCACATGGAATACTGTTCCCATCTCTGGGCTGGAGCTCCCCAGTACCAGCTCCTTCCACTTGACCGCATTCAGCGCAGAGCGGCTCGAATCCTCGACGACCGAGTGCTTTCCGATCGGCTCGATTCACTGGCACTGCGAAGAGATGTTGCATCCCTTTGCATTTTATTTCGCATTTATCATTTTTCGGAATTGTTCGGATTAATCCCAGCCGCCAAATTTCGTGAACGCACTATGCGGCAAACGTCCCGATACCATCCACACTATCTGGATGCTTGGCGGTCCACCACAGTACGTTTCAAAAGGAGTTTTCTTCCGCGTACAACCTCTCTGTGGAATAGTTTACCACCGGCGATTTTTCCGGACCGATACGACCTGGGGACCTTCAAGAAAAGAGCTTACTCCTTTCTAAAGGGCCGGCAACGCACCTGTAATTCCCCTGGTGTTGCGGTTGGTCATGGGCGGCGGTAGTTACTTATCAGGTGAGCCGCATGCTCGTTTGTCCCTTCTTCTATAAAAAAAACACACATATATATATATATATATTTTTTTTTTATATTCATAAATGATCGCTATTGTACACTTCTCGGATGCTGGTTGCACATTGGCAAGCTTCCAAGATTTTGGCACCGATCGATTTTTAAGATGGTGGCCGTACAGTTGCGCAGAACAGAAGACAACTCAGGCACACGATGTTTAAGTACCCTCGGGAATACAATTAGGTCCACTCGCTATTTTCATGTCTAGGTTTTACAAAGCCATTTGTACCTTTCATATAGATAGTGACTTTAGGCATCAAAGAATCACACCGAGGTAGGGTTGGCGATTGTTTAAAGCCAGCATCTAGACGAAAATTGCTCGCAAACAGAGATGCAAATTTTGCTTTCTCGGTCGCGGAGTGAGCCAGTGATCCATTAGGTTTCTGCGTAGGTGACAATGAGGGATAACAAAAGTTTGATTCATCGACCTTCAGAAGGGACCAAAATTGCTTACTACCAGGAGGATAGGAACTAAGCGTGGCCCCTATACGACTGACATGTTCTTCGAGGCCTAACTTTATGTATCGTTTAAGCTTTACCACTAGTTCGGAAACAAGTGATAATATTAAAAATTTTGTACAACTTGTGTGACTTCAATATAAATAAAATGAGATCATCATCAATGTAATCGAGGTCTATATAAATAAAATGAGAACATCATCGATGTAGTCGAAGTCAATTCAATACGCATTATTAACCCTAGATCACTAAACTTATTTTCTAGTAACAATGTTACTAAATATTAATCCTACAAACTAACAAATTGAAACCTCAGTATTTTTAATAATCAAAGCATTTATTTAGGAAAAAATCTATATAAAGTATGGAACGTCCTCCACATTAACATATAACTAAACAAAAAGTAAAACAAAAATTATTCTTGGCAATCGGCACACACCGGAATCCCCCCCGCAAATCGCCGTCCTGCAGCAGCGGCAAGCATACTTGGTCATCCTGTGCTTTTTGTAAGGACAAAAAGAACATATTTTACGCTTATTTTGTTGAGCTTGAGAGGTACTAGGAGAAGCTTCTTCAATTTTTAAAATATCTTTGATACTAGCTTTTATATCTCTCCTTAAATTACAGTATTGTAACGCTCCCGTAACCATGGCTCTATGAGCTTATCGGCCAAACTTTGGACAAAAGTCTTACGTTTCATTGGTTTTTGCCGTTTTCTGACCATGTTTGATACATAGATGACATAAGAGTTGATTAAGCATAGGTTCAAAATATTATAAAACACGCATTGAGGCCATCTATTGGTTTTGCGATTGACACATATTATAGCCGAGCTCATTTGTTCGACAGTATCGATGGCACCTTTGGTACTATTGTAGAAATGTATGATTTCAGGCTTTTTCGATGTGGAGTTAATGTCTGGCTGATTATGCACTGTCGATAAAAGAAAAACTACTTTATTAGATTTCGGTTTATAGAAGACCAGATTCGTCTCACCATCAAATTAAAACATCGAAGTGTTAATCATTCTTGATTTTTTGTTTTTCATTTCGGGTGGAATTTCTCGCTTATTACTACGTATTTTCCCAACAAGTGTGAGTTTATACGGATCCCGAAGGAATTCGAAAGCAAGTGGCATTGAAGTGAACCAATTGTCCATCGTAATATTTCTGTTAGTCCCATAGACAGGCTCACAGAGTTTTTTCACGAAATGTGCGGCAAGAAGCACATTCTCACAATTGGTTCCTTTATCTCGATAAGGCGTAGCATTATAGACATACTTTGAATTATAATCTGCAATCATTACAATTTTGATGCCGTACTTGTTGGGCTTATTGGGTATATACATTCGAAATGAGCAGCGCCCTCTAAACCCAACTAATTGTTCTTACAATTACCAATGAATTTCTCTAATTGGTGTAAATTTATCGGATGCTCTTCTGACTTGTCTGGTAGCTTTGTCAAATCGAAGGCATCTAAGTAAGAAATCAAATCTCTCGGCACTCATACACGCTTTGAAAACGTTACCACTCCTTCTGGTATCAAACAACATTCTCGTAGGTAAATGATTACTTTTTATAGCAGCTGATTGCAGAAGAACACCAAGCAAAGCTTTCACTTCACTAGCCGAAGTTGCAGAGATAGTATGAGTCAATTCCTTGTACTTCATATTTTTCAATTCAATTTCTGCATCTGTGTGAATAACAAGTTGGTCAATCATTTCATCAGATAAATACAAATGAAATATTGGAATTGGTTCTACCACACTGTTAGGGCCAGGTACAAAATGAATAATGTTTCGAGCCGATGAACGAGTGTTTGAAGAGCGTGGAGTAGTCGCCCACTTGTATTTGTTTTTTCCATAAATGAATGGTCTCTCTGGTTATATTACCGGGTTCTGCTGAGAAACTATGAGTGGACAAGGCTGCAAGTACTCCAAACAATCACCACCTGAATCTAGGATCCTTGATTAAAACTACTTTTACGGATTTTATCGCGTTTTATTTATATTAATTTTAATACCCGACGTTTCGGGTGCTTTCCAGCACCCATGGTCACGGGGGATGGGTGCTGGAAAGCACCCGAAACGTCGGGTATTAAAATTAATATAAATAAAACGCGATAAAATTCGTAAAAGTCGTTTTAATCAATGTATAGTGTTCGCGTAAATATAAAAAATCATTATCTAGGATCCTGTTACTGTAACGGTTTATCCGGGAAACATTCAGATCTTCGTCAGAAGAACTTGAGGATTTTTCTTCACTTTCGTCGGTATTTTTGACCAAGTCCTCCTCTAAGTTGTCATCAAGTTCGGAGTCTGAAGGCACACCAGGTGGTCCAACCAACGGTGAATCATCATCGTCGTTGTCCGACTCGTTCAAAATCTGCAATATTGTATCTTGATCTCGTATCAAATCCATCTAAAACAGAAAATACTAATATTTATTCACTATCTCATAATATATTAATAGTGTAATAAATAAAATAGATAACAAGTTCATAAAATAAATATTGCTCTTAGTATCGATCATATTTATTATTAAATTAAATCAATCGATAATTAGTTATTACAGAGAAAATTGTTACAAAAAATTAATATCATATTAACTTACCTTTATTTACTTTTGTAGCGTAATCACTAAACATTAGGAACTAGGAAGCGAACTCTGCGAACCACAGAACACTATTACTCCTATCGGAGAAGAACGACAACTTCATACAAAATTTAAGAAATGTGATATATATACCCACTAGCGTCATCTGTCGTTAGCCTACTTGCACTTCTCGTGTGTCGGAAAAATTTGAACGTGGTCTTTTTTGTTTTTTTTTTATTTGAGGTATTTTTAGGTTTCCTATCCCAAGGCTAAATAAAAGAACAAAAATTACAAAATTTCTCAAAATGAAAATGCAAATTTAAATTAAAAAACACATAACTTAAGACAAAATTTCTCCAGCAGCTTAGTTCTTTCTATAAAGACATTTGATGGGTTTAAACGTGAAAAGAAAATCAATATTGATTACAATATTTCAAACAATGATAAATATAATATATAAGATTTACAATCATGGATCAATTGATAATATGTAAAATCACAAATCGCAGGATGTCTACAATAACCAAAATATCAATATTTTAATCAAAAACAAGTTAATTTATAAATAAGCTTCCAAACACAAGTGCAAAGTGCAACATCCACAAATAAAAATTTGGTTTTGATTATATTTGGTTATCTATTTCCCTGAATTGACACTAAAAGTTTTGTCTCTATGTTATATGCAATATATTAAGTATTAAATGCAGAGCTTATAAATAGAATAATTTAAATCCAAAATTATAAAACATATTAATTATTAGATTACAAAACTATTCCTTATGTAATTTTAAAATTTTTCGTATAGAGTACCTTATTTTTCAGATCAACATTATCTGATATGATTTGATGTTTGTGGTTGTTCTTCAGTGTATATGATGTTGTCCTCCTAATGTTGTCCTTTTTGAAGATTCTGCTTGTGGTTTTGCAACAATAATTTGTGAAGGGCTTGTGATTCTACAAAATAAAATAGGAATACACTTTGTTAGTCTGGAAATAAATAAAAACTGAAATAAATTACAGTATAATAAACATATTATATAAAATTAAATTAACATAATATTCATTGACGTTACTTTCATACTAAACCAGTCCCTACTCATGGCACAACATTACCCTTGTACCAATACAAAATAAATGAATGGATCTTGTTCATCCAACTTGCTCTATAATACACCTACTATTACACCTAATATAACAAAATAAGATAGTAAATACATTAACTATGTAAAAAAGGAGAAGTCTTGTGTTTATCTATTGTTTGAGAACCATTTGATGCATGTATTTCTACTGTGTTGTACAAATTGTGCCTTTAAATTTGATAGGTTTAGGACGAAATGTAATTATTCATAGAATATGATGCCTGAGCTTTCTTAAGGTTTTTGTTGTTATTAAAAAATCTTTGACTATTAAAAGAAATATGCACAGTGTGTTGCACTTTCAATAATGATCAAAACTATACTGTATGTGTTCTGCCCATCCATGTTAGATCCAGATGATGTCATCTGAATAATAATCATCATCTTCATTGCAGTCTATCAAAGTCCACTCCTGAATATAGGAATCCCCATGTAAAATATCAGAGTAATCCTTAAAGAAAACTATATACATAACATATTACCATCATCATCATCATTACAGCCCTTCACAAGTCCACTGCTGAACATAGGCCTCCCCCAAGTAATGCCACAAAGCACGGTCCTGAGCCACCTGGATCCATCGACTTCCTGCATGTCTTACCAGGTCGTCACTCCATCTAGTGGGGGGTCGCCCTACACTACGTCTACCGGTACGAGGCTGCCACTCGAGAACCTTTTTTCCCCATTGGTTATCGGTTCTTCGAGCTATATGGCCGGTCCATTGCCATTTCAGCTTACTAATCCGTTGGGCTATGTCGGTCACTCTGGTTTTACTGCGGATATCTTCATTTCTGACTCTATCACGCAGAGAAACTCCGAGCATAGCCCTCTCCATAGCTCGCTGAGCGACCTTGAGCGTCCTCATACGGCCAGCTGTGAAGTAACACGTCTCTGATCCGTAAGTCATCACTGGCAACACGCACTGGTTGTACACTTTAGTTTTCAGAGATTGAGGTATACCTGACGAGAAGATGTGTCGTAATTTCCCGAACGCTGCCCAAACGAGTTGAATCCGTAGATTGACCTCTCGGTTGAAGTTGGACTTACCTAGTCCTAGTACCTAGTAAACGTACTCGTCAACAACTTCGAGCATATGTGTGACATGGACATTGAACATGATCTTTGTTTTGTCCATGTTCATCTTAAGACCTATACCTTGGGAGACACCATTGAGGTCATTGAGCATAGTGCTAAAGTCCTCCAGCGATTCTGCCATAAGGACTATATCGTCGGCAAATCGAAGGTGAGTGATGTACTCGCCATTGATGTTAATACCGTATCCTTTCCAGTCCAGTAGCTCGAAAACGTCTTCCAACGCAGCGGTGAAGAGTTTCGGAGATATAACGTCACCCTGTCTTACACCTCTCTGCAGTTGGATAGATTTCGAACTCTGGTTCTGTACTCGGATAGCCATCGTAGTCCTACTGAACAAACACTTCAGCACTTCGATATACCGACAGTCAACTTGTCACCGCTGAAGGGACTGTAGCACCGCCCAAATTTCCACGGAATCAAAGGCTTTCTCATGGTCCACATACGCCAGGTAAAGTGGCAGATTGTACTCTTCGGTCTTCTATATAATCTGCCGCAGGGTATGTATGTGGTCTATGGTACTGAAGCCTTTTCGGAAGCCGGCTTGTTCGGGAGGCTGGAAGTCGTCGCGTCTGCGTGCGAGACGATTCGTAATGACTCTCGAAAACAGCACGTAGACGCGGCTCAGAAGGGAAATCGGTCTGTAGTTCTTCAAGAGAGCGTTGTCGCCTTTCTTAAAGAACAAGATCACCGCACTTCTGCTCCACGCCTCCGGAGTAGTGCCACCATGGAGGACGGAATTGAAAAGCTTCTGAAGGACTTCAAGTACCGGTGTTCCACCCGCTTTTAGAAGCAACGCTGTAATTCCATTCTCGCCTGGGGCCCTGACGTTTTTAAGGTGCTGAAGAGCCATTCTAATCTCGCTCATTACCATATACGTTATATATTTTACTTACATACATGGGACTGCAGTTCTTAAGAGCTTTTCCTTGGTTGCATGATTAAATTAACTATTATGAAAATGTTTTCCACACAGCATTCTGGGCTAATTATGTAGCTGTATCTGGAAAGCTAAAATAGTATATTGCTTTTGGGAAGGAATATAATATTTCGCCCACAATTTACAGCTGAAAACAAAAATATAATTATTAAATACAAATATTATCAAAGTAGGTCCAGTGGTTTGCAAAACAATAATTTATTTTAAAATGGTTAAAGAGAAAAAATCTTTCATTATAAGTTGGACAAGAGATTTACTTTAAGGTTAGAACTTGTTAAATAGTGTATATGTACATTGTATACGTACCGCAAAATATACTTTACTGCGGGTTTCGGAAACCTAAATAATTTAATGTTGTCAACGGTTGGTGAGCTTTTGCACTTAGAACACTTTTTCTATTTTCTTTATCCGCCATTGCAGCGTAGTTTTTAGAGTCACTATTTCGTATTTCACTACGAATCACTGATTAAATTGCACATCATATAAACGAAGGACATTAATCTCAACTCAACATATTAAACTTGCAAAATCTTAAAAAAAACAACCATTTATTATGAAAAACAATAATTTATACATCGGCGCCATATTATGAGAATTATATTATATATACTCATATAGATGTTTTGATGCTACCAGAAAAAAATATAATTTTCTACTCATTTAAAATCAAACCAAAAAGAAAACAATTATTTTTCTTTTACTGTCAGGGATATTCTAATATAATAACGTAGAAAAATAAAACAGGCATAGTCATCTTCCTATGGATTATCATTTCTATATTCTAAATTTCATAGTGTAATTTATCTTTAGCAAAGTCTTACTAATTATGAAACAAGACATTTATCTGACAAATGGCAATAATAAAATTCAGGTCATATTACACAAATATACACACCCGTGCACACGCAAGGGTCACTGGTTGGCCGATTTAGGAAGGTACTGAGGGGTCGGGGGGGGGGGGTTGCGGTAATGGAAACATATCTAGACAGCGAATGCATCAGAATTGTGATGCCTGTGATATGCCTGTGTTTAGTGATCTAGGGTTAAGGATAACTCAAAAACTACAGGTTAGATCTTGAGCAAATTTATATGAAGATACAATAGCAGTATCAGCTTTAAAATAAAAGAAAAGAAAAATCAGCAAAGTCATTTCACCTGGAAAATAGTTATGAGGTAACACACATTAAAAACATACTGTCGAATTGAGTACCACCTCCTTTTTTAAGTCGGTTAAAAATAAAAACTAGGTACAATGTACATAGGGCGGAGTAGAATTATGTGGAATATTGAGAAGGAGGGCTTCGATTAATTATTATTTTGTACGCGCAAATAGCAATTTTACTTTGGTAAAATAATTGATAGTGGTTCTACGTGAATTCTTGCCGAATGGTGACGGTGGAAGGGAATCCGTCATACCATTTCGTCTCGTAAATGTTGGAAGTGGCGACCGGCTATGGGAAATACCACAATAATCATATAGCGATATCTTTATATCTGGTAGTATATATTACATATTATGGTTGTAGCACGAACGGGTCTGCTCAATCGGCGGTAGGACCACGCTCTCACAAAACACCAGCATAAAATAGCAGCTTTATGCTGCTGTATTTCGTATGGTGAGCATAGCGAACCAGAGACCTTTTTTACTGAAACGAAAG